CTCAATTCCACGAGTAAAAGTATTTGATTAAAAAACGTCGAGGTCGATCCCATTAGAAGATGACAGAAACGCATTAAATTGTTTTTATTCTCCACCTCCTTTTCAGCTCGCCTAACTCTTAGGGTAGAAAGCACGATGGCATCGAGAAGAGTTATCTTTCTATTCATTCCCTCTCAAATATTCCCTATTCTAAAATCCAGCCGTAAGTAATCCGATGATAGGCTCCGTCAAGACTCGACTATATTTTTATTCAAGTAATATTTGTTATCTCAATGGCCTATATCCGCGATCTAATACTGCGAATAATCACTTTGCTAAAAATATCAACCTTTGCTTTGTAACAATAGTTAGTAGAGTAGTTAACAGTAAAGCCATAATGCCGGTCTCCAATGTACATCCCTGTCCTTGTAACCAAAGCAAATTATTTCCACTTCATATTCCCTCTTTTAACGTAATAGTATTATCTCATTGGTTACCTATAAACAAGAACTGTTTTATCGAAGAGATGCTGACCAAGATGGCGTGGCTCTCGGTATGGTCGCAGTCTACTTTTGATTTATAGAAGTGGGTTGACTTCGTTTTCGCAACTTGGGACTTTGTTGAACGTGCCTTGTAGGAAGTCCGTTGCTATAGTAGTTATCATAATCCCCAGTTTTAGATCATGAACGTGGTACATTCTCAGACGTTCCGCCGGCACCGTAGTTGGCGTCATGAGTGAGTCTTACTCATATGATAGCAAGACAATTTCAGCAGAAAGTTGGCCAAGGGATTGACTTTGCTTGTCTCTTTTCACGAGTTGTAGCTTGGTGATAAGAATGGTAAGACTCATTAATGACACTGAGTACGATGCCAGCGAAACGCCTAAGAAGGTACCAAGTTCACAGTCTGATGCTGGGAATTATGATAACTACTATCACAGAGGACTACGAACAAGGCCCTGACAACATGACCAAGTTGCGAAAACGAGGTCAGCCGACTTCAAGAAATGTCTTAATTTATCATTACGATGTGGCCAAATTACAAAATAATCATCCATATCTCCAATTTAAATCCTTAATGTAAATCTTAACTCTTCCATGAAGCATTCCTCCATTTTGACGTCATTTTTGGCCAAGAATAATCTGCTATCTTCTAATGGCATCGACTTCCGAGGCTTTTCATTATCCACTTTAACTTGAAACGGAAGTGAGTCTAAAAGCTGTAGACTAAAAGCTAGCTCAACATTCATATTTTCTCCGTATACTCATAGTTCTGGGTCCACAAGGCCTAAAGAACTTATGAAAGCATGACTCAGTTTACATGATCTCGTTCGTCCGATTGACCTGATGAGCTTGACAGAACTGTCTAACGAGTGTTGATGTAGTTATAATCGTCGCCGCGATGATCAGTAGAATACATTTGTGGAACGTACCTAGTTCTGCGTCCTCTGCCATAGTATTCATGATGAATTCTAATATCGGACCGATGACTTGGTACATACATTATTCAACTTCTTACCTCTATTCCTAGCATTCAATATAGTCCCCAGTCGGGTAATGTAAAAGCGTTTATAAGCAGGCCTACTCTAGTCAGCAAACAGAAGAGTTTGTCGAAAGTTGGTCAAGTAACTAACTTCATTTGTCCCATTGATTAGTTTTAGTCTGTTATTTCAATCTGCCAGAATCGTTTTGATACCAACTAGCAGGCCGGCAAAACGCCTGAGAATGTACCAAGTACATGGTCAGACGCTGGAAGTTATCATGACTGCTATGACCGAGGACTTGGGCAAGGTGTTTTTATTTAGGTCTTTCTGACATTATCAACAAGTTGCGAAAACGAGGTCAAATCATTCTTTTATAATAAAATGACAACATGACCGAAATAGAGGTCACATGTTACTGTTCCTCATGCCAACATATGCAACTCTCCTAAGAACGTCTCCACCACATCCACTAACTTTCCTTGTAGCCAGAACATCAAAAAAACGTAAGCTCATTTTCTCTTTTCACTCCATTCTGAGTATAATATTATTTTTACTATGGCAATCATTCTCATCTGTTCTCACTATATTGCAAAATGTTATATGAGTCAACCATGTAACTAACCTAGTAATTTATGGCCACAATTACATCATCCATAACCATGTAAATATTATTCAAAATGTGGAATAAGCAAGATACCACCACAAATTTTTACATCTGTTTAAAACACATTCTACCATCGAAAAATGTACTATTCATAGATAAATTAGTACGTTTTGAAAGAGAGGCTATACTAAGACTTATTACGTGCATAATCCCTGAACTACCAGAAATTCTGGTACATATGGATACCACATTGATACTTATTAATACATCTTCCTCTATAGTTATTTGCTAGTCTACTAATTTTACAAACTTATCAGAATTTTTAACTAGATACAGCCAACACTTAACCATTTATCCTAATTGTTGGCACTACAAAGTGAGATTTTGTGGACGTCACTTCCCTTGTTATATACATTTAATCTCGGAGGAATGCCCCTCTTGTGCACATTAAAGGTTTATATGTAACACTATTACTTAAATTAACTTCAATCTCTTTATATTTATAATTACCAGCGTTCCATACTTGCCGGCTTTTAAAGTTATTCAGTTAATGTGAATAAATTATCCATAAATCATACTCAGAACACGAGATTTCTTTGTCATAACCACCAGCTCTATGCTGTACTTAATCTCTTGCAACAGCCTTTCTGAGAAGCTAACAAATTCAACTGGTACATCAAGAGAATGACTTTCTTTATTTGTTAGAGCGATATTCAATCCTCTCTCAGACAGAAATTCTGCTAAACTCTTCCCGGTTAGACTGGATAGATTAATTTACTTATATATAAGATGTTTTCGCCCTATTTCCTTTAAGGTGATGAAGGACTGGTAGTTGAATTTTCCAACTATGCTATAGTATACTCATATGATATATTCACATAATAGTGGGAAAGTTCAACTGCCAGTCTTTCATCAGCCTTAAAGAAATGGGGCGAATACATCGCATATATTTGCTTTACTAATTAGTCCCAAAATATACCAACTTAAAAATTTTTTTTAATAAGAAAAAGAAAAGTCTGCATAAGTGATGATTGGTGTACCCTGTTTATTCTTGTTAAATTTCACTTTTGGGAAAGCATAATCATGGCAGCAGTGAAAAAGCATTGAGGCCAAAGGTTTGCCTTTACAATGAATTCTTGCGTTATGTTACTCGAGCAGTCGGAAGCCTCATTTCTCGGCGATTTGTGGTGGTGTTAAAAAATGGAAGAAGCCTGGCCAACTGGGGCAGTTGGAGGAACGGTGGGGCTGTGAGGGTACCGCAGAAAAGAAGACTGAGTAAGGTGAGACTGTTGTCCAGTTAGGAGCAGTAGAGGTGTGGACATCTTTATAAAGTGCTCTCTTAGAGAGATGCATTTCGGGAAAAGGAAGCTGTCTAACAGGTCTATGCAAAGTGGAAACTCTGTAAGGACGTATGGATTTTTTATGAAGAATCTGGGAACTAAAAAAGGTTTCTCTGGAAACTGTGTAGTTTTGGTAGCATCACGTTGTGCAAAAGCATTTGCTTGCTTTACGCTGCTACTCAACATTGCTCGGGATCAACACGTGTCTGATCGGGCAAGAGTGATGAGATGACCGGAAGGTGTACCGCAGTATCGTACGTTGCTATGCGAGCAGTTCGTCTTCACCATCGGTATCTTTGGCTGGGTCGTCATTCTCCATTCGGACGACGATCTCGGTGCCTTGAGCCATCGAAATGGCCGCCGCTTCTCGGTCCTTCACGGCGGCCGGAGTCGTCATCGACGTGATCCAGGCCCGC